GACAACTAGATATACTATCTGCCTCTTAATGGAAGAACAATACACAAACCTATAAAACTACGTTGCAGAAAAAAAAATTAAACCCAAATACAAACACAACTACAGATCCACCAATTTATAGTATATAGAAGACAAAGAAATACACTTCAAAATTCATAACTGCAGCCAGGCATAGTGGCTCACGCCTATAATCCTAGTACTCTGGGAGGCTGAGGCGGGTAGATAACCTGAGCTCAGGAGTTCAAGACCAGCCTGAGCCAGAGCAAGACCCTGTCTCTAAAAACAGCCAGGCGTTACAGTAAGCACCTGTAGTCCTAGCTACTTGTGAGGCTGAGGCAAGAGGATTGCTTGGGCCCAGGAGTTGACTTTGCTGTGAGCTGTAAAGCAGCTGTACTATAACCAAGGGAGGCAAAGTGAGACTCAGTCTCAAAAATATGTATATATATATATTACACACAGCTGTTTTGAAATTTAGCAACACACTTTTGACTAACCCATGGGTTATAGCTCTAAATGTGAAAGATAAAACAATAAAGCTTTTAGAAGAAAACACAGGAGGATATCTTCATGAACTTAGGATCAGCAAAGATTTCTTAAACTGAGTATAAAAAGCACCAACCATTAAGGAAAGAGACTGTTAAATCAGACTACATTAAAATTAAATAATGCTGAGTCAAACAGTACATTCATAATATATTCATTCAAAAAAAGAAACTGGGCTCGGTGCCTGTGGCTCAAGTGGCTAAGGCACCAGCCACATACACCTAACGTGGTAGGTTCTAATCCAGCCCAGCCCACCAAACAACAATGATGGCTGCAACAACAACAAAAAAAAGCCAGGCAGCTTTTTTGTGGCAGGCACTTGTGGTCCCAGCTACTTGGGAGGCAGAGGCAGGAGACTCGCTTGAGCCCAGGAGTTGGAGATTGCTGTGAGCTGTGATGCCACAGCACTCTACCCAGGGGGACAGCTTGAGGCTCTGTCTCAAAAAAAAAAAAAAAAGAAACTAGAAGTCTACCACACACCATACATAAATTTATGATGGCTTAAGAACTTAAATAGGAGAAGCAAAAACTTTAAACTTTTAGAAGAAAATAGTTTGTCTTTTTTAACATGAAATATAAGACAGGATTTTTAAAACAAGATACAAAAAAAAGTGCTAACTCTTAAGGGAAATTCTGACTAGAAACATTTAAACTAAGAGCTAAAACAAAATTATAAAGATTACAAAAGAAAAATTTCTCATATATATAAACCTAAAAAGATTTGTATACAAAGATGAAATCTCTTCTCTCTGCTGGTCCTCACGCGGCTGCTCCGAAAGCCCCGGCTCGCGCGCCCGGCCTCCCCTGGAGGCTCCACCTGGGGCATGGCGCCCCTACCGACGGCTGGCACCGCGGAGCAGACCGAAGCTGCCAGCATGAGCCGCCACGGCAGCAGCTCCCCGGCTTCCGGGCCGGTTCCACCTCCCTTCGGCTACAGCTCCAGCCCCTGGCCACTAGCAGCTTCTTTGCACTCTTATTGCTTCTCCCTAACTTCTTGAAGTTGCAGTGCCCACATCTGTGATCATCTCTTCACCTACATGCAGTCTCTTGGTAACTGAGTTCATTCAGACCCTTGGCTTTAAACACAATCTCTATGTTGATGATCCCCCAGTATTTATCTACAGCCCTAACCTTTCTCAAACTTCAGACTCATATTTGGTTGCCAACTTTAAATCCTCCACTTGGATGTCCGACAGTGACCTCAAATGTGTCCAAAACTGAATTCCTGATTTTCCTCTCAAATATTCTCCACTACAGAGAGTCCTTCCCACCTTCAGGTGTTAGCAACTCTGCCGTTCCAGTCATTCAGACCTGGGAGGCATCCTCCATGCCTCCCTTTCACATCTAATCTAATCTACTTCTGGATCATGCTGATTCCAACTTCAGAATCTGACTCTTTCTCACCACCCCTACTGCTACCACCATGGTCTAAGCCACCATTAATCTTCTCCATATTAGTAAAAGGGTATCCTAACTGGACTTCCTTGCTTCTGTCCTTGAAAATATCAACCAGCAACAAGGATGATTCATACAGTATCAGGGAAAAGTCAGACCATACTAATCCTCTTCTCAAAATCCTCAGTGGCTTCTACCTCACAGCACTCCATACCTTTTTAATCTCTTTTGATTCCAATCTGCATAGCACTTATCACCTGCTAACCTACTATATAATTTGCTTACCTCACTAGAATGTCAGCTCCACAGAGTCAAAAATTTTTATCTATTTCATTTACAGATGTATCCTAAGTGCCTAGGAATGATGCCTGGCACCTATTAGTACATAATAAATATTGACTATTGACAGCATCGAATTGAGACTATTTAGTTCCTATTATACTGTAACCTCCCCAAAACATGGGATTTTGTCTGTTTTGTTCACTAGTGTCCCAAGTACATCTAATTTAGAAGGCTACAGGTATATACTGTAATTTTTACCCCACTACGTTCAGGCCTAGAGCATATGTAAAGCTGGAATGGGTATCCTACTAGGTCACAGTACTAGAGTAGCAATATAACTTTGATACACAAATCTCCCCTTCTCTCCTTGAGTTTGTTACCAAGGCCCATTTTCTTCTCTATCTATAAGCTCCCTCTAGGTCAGCAGTTCTCAACCTGTGGGTCATGACCCCTTTGTGAGTCGAATGATCCTTTCACAGGAGTCACCTAAATACATCCTACATATCAGATATTTACATTATGATTCATAACAGCAGCAAAATTACAGTTATGAAGTAGCAATGAAAATTTTATGGTTGGGGGTCACCACAACATGAGGGTCAGCACAACGGGTATTAAAGGTCATGGCATTAGGCAGGTTGAGAACCACTGCTCTAAGTGATCAAAAATCTAATGGCTTTACTCTTCTTTCTAAAATAAAAATAAACTTTTATTATCCTAAAAACAGTACATTTTGAAAATTAAGAGTACAAGTAAGGAAAAATAAGAAAAACATATTCTTACCAGATTACTACTGTTAATAAAGGGTGGACATAAAGTTTGTGTGCTATTTAAAATAGTTTAACATAGTAAATTGCACACAAACTTAATGTCTACCCTGTATATCTTCAGTGTGGATTTTTTCTAGATATTTCTGTGCATAGATGCATTTTTTCCCCAAACTGAGAACATACTAGTGTTTTCTATTTTACTTCTATTAACTCTCTCTTTCCATGTCCATGACTTTTCATCTCATGTAATATTTAGCACATATTTAAATTTTCTCAAAATCAAATAAGAAAATACATCTATAAACAAACTTTTATATCTTTGCATAAGTGGTGCCTTATTCCCAGACTACCCTTTCTTGCTTTAATCTGGCTTCAAACTCATAATTAACCTTTGAAATTCTACAAAGCCAACTGTTCATCTTGGAAACTTCCCCTGTACCTCGTTGTCCCACTCCAGATCGTACCTTACTCTGTGATAACCAAAGCACCTCTATTGCTCTACTTTATGTGCAATATAAATAATTTTATGTGGAGAATCCCTTCCAGACTGTGTTCTTATTAAAAGCAGATACTGGACCTTATATCATCCAAAACAGTATCTAATACCTAGTTGAAATCCCATATTTAACTGACAGAAAAATGCTGGCACATGCACAAAGAAGATATCCATAAATACTCATTACAGGCTAGGCATGGGGTCTCACACCTATAATCTCAGCACTTTGGGAGGCTGAGGCAGGAGGACTGTTTGAGGTCAGGAGTTCAAAACCAGCCTGAGCAATAGCATGAGACCTCATCTCTACAAAAAATTAAAAATTAGCCAGGCATGGTGATGCACACCTGTAGTAGTGGCTATTCGGGAGACTAAGGCAGGAAGATCACTTGAGCCCAGGAGTTCAAGGCTAGAGTGAGCTATGATTGTGCCACTGCACTCCATCCTGGGTGACGGAGTGAGCCCATCTCTAAAAACTATAAAAACAAAATAAAAATATTACAGTGAATCAATGTTATAAGCTATATAAAATAATATAGAGAGACTGTGAACAAAGATATCTTTGTCCTATTCCTCTAAGTTATGAAATCTTGGGGAAGTCATAACCTCTGTGTATCTCTCTTCTCAATGGTAAAGTGAGAAAGATAAATCTAGACATCCACAATGTTAAAATCCCAGATGCTTTGGAATGAAGTCTTCAATATTCATTCTGTTTTAAAAACCATATTTAGATTGACGACAGTAAGCATTGACAAGGCTGGAATTCTCATACATTTCTAGTGGGCACGTAACATGGTATAACCACCTTCAGGGATTTGGGGCAGTTTCTCATAAAATTAAATATACACATAGCATACAACTTAGCAATTCCATGCCTAAGTATCTACCTAGGAGAAATGAAAACATTATGTCCACACAAAAACTTAAAGCCAAAAAGGGGAAACAACCCAAATGTCTCTCAAAGGCAAACAGACACAAACTATAGTACATCCAAACACAAAACATGACTCAGTACTAAAAAGGAGCTAATTTGGGTGGCGCCTGTGGTTCAAGGAGTAGGGAGCCGGCCCCATATACGAGGGGTGGCAGTCTCAAGCCCAGCCCTAGCCAAAATTGCAAAAAAAAAAAAAAAAAGAGCTAATTTACTGATACACACAACACCATGGATGACTTGCAAAGCTTTACACTAAGTGTAAGAAGCCACACAAAACAGTAGTTACTATGTGCTTCAAATTATATGAAGTTCAAGAATAGACAAACCTAATTTATTGTGAAAAATATCAGAAGAGTGGTTGTGCAGAGTAGGGAGGTTGGAAAGGCGTATTAAGGAGTTTCCTGGGGTGACAGATACAGTCTATATACTGATCTGAGCAATGCTTAGAGAATTGGCTGTATTTGTCAAAATTCATCACACTGAACATTTAACAACTATTCATTTTACTGTATTTAAATTATATCATTTTTTTAAAAGTTCAAGCCATATAAGATTTTGAAAACTTAGGAAATTTTACACTTACCTCCTTTTCTTCTGAGCAAGATTTAGTTCCATAAACTTGTACTTCTGGTACTGTTCATCCAGCTTCTTTAGTACTGTATCTGCAGTTTCATTTCCAGGCTGCTTCATAAAAGAATCTACATCTTCCTTTAATACCAAAAATAATACATTACAAATTTTAGAATTCATGCCACTAATCTGATTTTTTGACTGCCTTGTTTTTAAAACATAAAAGAAGAATGCTTTGTTTCTTCCTCCAAAGGCTTGTTTTTAACTAAAAATACAGGTAAAGTATTTTTTTTTTTTGAATTTGGAATATTTGCATTATACCAGTTAAGCATCCCTAATATGAAAATCTGAAATCCAAAATACTCCAAGGAGCATATCCCTTGAGCATCATGTCAGCACTCAAAGAGTTTCAGATTTTGAAGCATTTCAGATTTTCAGATTTGCAATAATCAACCTATAGTTATAAAAAGTAATAGATAATTTCTGACCATGCACACAAATTATGTAGCTAATTTACTCTCCTTTCACATTCTTCTCGAATTTCAACTTATAAATAGGGAAAGAAGAATGACTTTGCCTCCTTTATGCATTTCCCATGCAGCCCTATGAAAATAATCAACAATCAAACACATTGCCCATTCATGTAGTCTAGTCATAAAATGATTCTATAGGTTGGTAAAGGTTGGATACAAAAATTACCAATTTTTATAACTTATTTATGTGTATGCATGTATTTTTAGAGACAGGGTCTCATTCTGCCACCCAGGCTAGAGTGCAGTGATGTCATCATAGCTCACTGCAACCACTTACTCTTAAGCTTAAACTGTGTTCCTGCTTCACCCTACCATGTAGCTGGGACTACAGGTGAGTGCCATCACACCTGGCCAATTTTTTAATTTTTTTTTTTTTTGAAACAAAGTCTCAAGCTGTCACCCTGGGTAGAGTGCCATAGCATCAGAGCTCACAGCAACATCCAGCTTTTGGGCTTAGGCAATTCTCTTGCCTCAGCCTCCCAAGTAGCTGGGACTACAGAAGTCTACCACAATGCCCAGCTATTTTTTTGTTGCAGTTTGGCCAGGGCCAGGTTTGAACTTGCCACTCTCGGTATATGGGGTGGACGCCCTACTCACTGAGCCACAGGCACCACCCAATTTTTAAATTTTTTGTAGACAGGGCCTTCCTTATGTTGCCCTGGCTCGTCATGAACTTCTGGCCTCAAAGAGATCATTCTCCTGCCTCAGTTTTCCAAAGTGCTGGGATTATAGATGTGAGCCACTACATCTGACTTTATTACTTATTTTTAATTCAATAAGTTCTGCTATATAAATCATGCAAAATATGGTGAATAGATTGCCAAAGTAAGTCATAAATGCTTCCTTCAGTATCAAGTGGTTGAAATAAACTAAATCTAAGTCAAACAGGAGGAAGGCGCCTATGGCTCAAAAGGGTAGGGCGCTGGCCCCATATGCCGGAGGTGGCAGGTTCAAACCTAGCCCCAGCCAAAAATAAATAAATAAATAAAAGTCAAACAGGGCTCGGCACCCATAGCTCAGTAGTTAGGGCACCAACCACACACACCAAGGCAGGCAGGTTCGAACTTGGCCTGGATCTGCTAAACAACAATGACAACTGCAACCAAAAAATAGCTGGGCATTGTGGTGGGTGCCTATAGTTCCAGCTACTTGGGAGGCTGAGGCAAGAAAATTGTTAAGCCCAGGAGTTTCAGGTTGCTGTGAGCTGTGTTGCCATTGCACTCTACCGAGGGCAACGTAGTGAAACTCTATCTCAAATAAATAAATAAATAAATAGGGTGGCGCCTATGGCTCAGTGAGTAGGGCGCCGACACCATATACCAAGGGTGGCAGGTTTGAGCCCAGCCCCAGCCAAACTGCAACAAAAAATAGTGGGGCTTTGTGGTGGGTGCCTATAGTCCAACAAAATGAGACTGTCTCTAAAAAAATAATAAATAAATAAAAGTCAAACAGGAATACACTAAAACCAACATTAATTTTATTCAATATATACTACATGGGGGTCCTTGAAGAAAAGCTACTTAATTATTAATTAGATAAGGATCAGGAACTAGAGGAAATAGATAAAAATACATGGAAGCTTAAAGGAGAGTCTCCAAGAGCCTTCTAATACTTTTTTTTTTTTTTTTGAGACGGAGCCTCAATTTATCCCCCTGGGTAGAGTGCCATGGCATCACGCTCACAGCAACCTCCAACTCCTGGGCTCAAGTGAGTCTCCTGCCTCAGCCTCCCAAGTAGCTGGGACTACAGGCGCCTGCCACAGCGCCCCGCCATTTTTTTGGTTGCAGCCATCATTGTTGTTTGGCGGGCCCGGGCTGGGGATTCGAACCCGCCACCTTAGGTGTATGTGGCTGGCGCCTTAGCCGCTTGAGCCACAGGCGCCGAGCCAGGCTTCTAATACTTTATAGGCTGTTAGTTCTTCATTATGAGTAACTTAAATTATCTTACAGCTTCTGGGATCTCCATATCATTATTCTTACTCATGTTTATTAGCTATAAGAAAATATTTTAGCTGAAACAAGGCAGGAAGGAAAGGGAAGAAAAACACACCAAAGGAGTAAACTAAGAAGTCACCAAGTTAGAGACACAGTAAATGAAATTGGAAAGTGGAGGCTAAGAGTAAATGGCTGAGTTCTGTGTGTAAGATGGAGATACCACTTTCCTAGAAGGATTGCTGCAGGAAAGAGAAGGCAGGCAAAGTTTCGAGTATATGATACATATTTTTGGGAACTAGAGTCTAGCAAGGTGAATTAACCACAGCCACACCATAGGCTGTGGCTAAGAAACAGAGGTAGTTGGTTTGAATCCTGGCTTTACCACTTACTAGATACTTAACCTATCTTTGACCTTAGGGAAGTTATTTTACTTCTCTTTGTCTCAATTTCCTCATCTGTACACTGAAATAAGGTACTTTTTCTTCACTAGGGACACATGAGTTAGCTTATGTAAATGCTTTGAAGAGTACATGACACTTAGTACTCAACAAATATTAGCTATAAGAGATTGTGCTGTAGGGACACAAAATGCCAAGGATTTTATTTTGGGGTGTAAGCCACAGAAAATTACAGTGAGGCAATGATCTGAACTAGATGTTGAAAGATGAAGAAGAGGTCATCAAACGGACAAGGGTGAAAGGGAGAATTCAAGAAGAGAAATAAAACAAATTAATGCATCACTGAGGTCCAACAAAGTGCCAGGTCTGACTTATAGCCACTATGGTACATTGCCTCCTATAATCATAGAAATTAAATCTATTCAATACCAAATACATTCTACCAAATACGTTGGAAATACTGAAAGCATGTTCTGTTTTTCATAAGTCTACTGTCATCCCTATTTCAGTTAAAGAAACTGAAGCTCAATGTTGTAAAATAATATGCTCAAGACTAACCAGCAATTTGGAAGCAGAGGCAGGATTCAAAGCTCTGTTTATGGAGAAGCCAATGTTCTTTCTACAACACTGTGTCACTCTCATTAGTCTGGAAACAAAAATAACTATACAAAATTTGGGTTACTTATTACATCATGTTGGTAGAAATTTCAAGCTCTAGACAAAATAACCCATAATATTGTAGGAAAAAATATTTTAAGATAAGGCTTTGTAAGGCCTTCAGATAAAGTTTATCCTCCTAAAGATTTCTGAAACCATCTCGAGCTGAGCACTGGCAACGTAAGATACCATGAAAATTCAATTAGACATGAGCTTATACCACCATGCTAGGATCAAGAGGAGTGGCACTAAGTAAGAGAACTACCTCAGTCTTCTCCTAGTAGTAGAGCATGGGGAATAAGTAGAGGCTCCACATACCGCTCAAGATCAAATCCTGGATAACTCACTCACTTCCTATGCCATGTGAGATAAGTTAATCAAGGGCTCTGTGCCTCAGTTTCATCTACAAAATGAAAATAGTAACAATCACCTAGAGGTTTTTTTTTTTTTTTTTTTGAGACAAAGTCTTATTATGTTGCCCTCGGTAGAGTACCCTGGTGTCACAGCTCACAGCAACCTCAAACTCTTGGGCTTAAGCGATTCTCTAGCCTCAGTCTCCAGAGTAGCTGGGACTACAGGCACCTGCACAACACCAAGCTATGTTTTGGTTGCAATCGTCATTGTTGTTTAGCAGGCCTGGGCCGGGCTCCAACCCGCCAGCTTTGGTGTATGTGGTTGGTGCCCTACTCATTGAGCTATGGGCACCACACCATCTCCTAGAGTTTTGTGAAATCATTAAGAAAGTGCCTGACACTGAACAAATTTTATTTCTTGTTATTTTTAGGTAACAAATAAATATAAAAACATAAATAGCACAGTTCAGGGAAAAAATAAAGAAAGAAAACAAATAAAAAATTCAATCGGCAAATGCAAATATACAATATAAAGTGTGATTTAAATAAAATAAATCGGTGTTTTGTAGGATGTAAGCATGATTAGTAAAAAAGCAGAGAGGTAAGGCAAAGTAGAAGCTAAAAGAAAATTTCATTACTATATTATAGTAGCTCAGTACAACTAAATGGGGAAAGATAGAGGATGCTGGCCTGAAGTCCACTCAGAGGTTTTTCTCTCATTATTCAAACAGTTTTCAAATATTATTTATAGAAAACCTTGATGGAAGGATAGGGTTGGTAGCTTCTAATTGTTCCCCTTTATTTGGACTTAGGTTGGTCTTCCTGTTCCCTAACACCTCCAAATTGCATCCCCCACCTCCTCTTTCAACTCCACACAATTCATTCGCCACTAAGTTGTTAGAATGATGTACCTAAAACCAAATATGATAGCATTGTGGCTTTACTTACACACTTTCTCCCATTGCCTGGAAAAAGCCTCAATTCCTCATAAAACATACAAGGACTTCACACTCTCACCCTACTTTCCCATCAGTCTCTTCTTCCATTCCCCCCGAGACAACAGACCACTGCATTACTTCGATAGACCGGGTGTCATTTCCTATTTTCACACCTCAATACTAGCTGTTCTGCCCACTTATTGTATTCTACCAGTCCATCTATCTAGTTCTCTAGGATCTAGGCTGAATCCACCTTACCCCTGGTCTTTTCCAGGCAGCAGGGGACAAACTCCGGCATCAGCAAGGCGGGCCTTCGGGACACCCCGCCCCCAGCCCCTCGACCCCTCGCCCGGGCCCCGCTCCCTCGCCCTACGCCCCCTTCTTTTCTACCTAGTCCTCCCGCCCTACGTCCCCTTCTTTTCTGGGGCCTTCCAGGGCAGGGTTTCTTCTGAGAGTGCCCTAGCAAAGCTCAGTCCATCCAGTCGGGGAGAGGGAAGGAAGCCATAGGTTCCCTCCCAGGACCTTTATCTCAGCTTCTTTCCTTAACAGCCCAGGCCTGGGTGGGGGCCGGGTAAGAAGGAGTAGTCCGTGGCCTCGGGCCCAGATGCCTGAGAATAGCTTGCCTCTTACCACAAACACAGCTTCAGGAATTCCCAGGTGGATCCGCCGCCCATTCCCTGAAGCCCCTTCTCCCATGCCACAACCGTCCTTGGCGACAGCCATCTTGGGGATGCGAGCGCAAGAGTAACTGACTCTAGAGCTGCCGGCCACCAGGAGTTCGTGATTGGCCCGTTTGCATCTGCAGGCCCGCCCCTCCTTATACATTCATTGGTGGGCAGGAGGAGCGCTTCTCCTTCAGCCTAGTAACCCAACCCTTAGGTGTTGATTGGCTGTACGCAGGTGAGTGACAAGCGTGGAAGGGCTGTGAAGGAGAAGCTCTAGCTTCTGGAGAGGCCAATACGACTCCTGGGAAAGGGGGTCTTGTGAGTGGGCGGGGTTAAATCCCTGGAAGTGAGAACCAAACCGGCTCCACCGCCACCACAGAACTGGCAACACGATTCAAAATGGCCTCTTAAGCGATCTGGTCTTCTCTCGGATGCTAGTGAACCTGGGGCCTAGACGCCACCACGAAGGTGTAAACTCTGCCTTTCTTGTGCCACCACCACAGCGTGATTCCTGCCCCTTGAATGGGACTTAACTTTGCGTCTGTTTTAGAGTGGAGCCATTGGCCTGATTGTGATAAATAACCCGGCCATACCACCAAGCTTTCCCGAGAGCCACTTTAATTAGACTCTCTTCTACCCAGCTCAAACATTTTCAAAACCTCCTAGTGTACGTACAAAATCCTAAGAACTCCGTCTAGGCGCTCAAATTTACCAAACATCATCCTCGACTACAATTCTTTTTTTTTTAATTTTTTTAATTATTAAATGATAGCTGTATACATTAATGCAGGTGGGTTCATCATACAGACCTAAGTAATTCTTTGGGCTCTTTTCTGACATCTAATCACTGTTTTTGTCCCTGTCTTTGCTTTCGGTGGAGTATTTCCCAATAAAGCACTGCTTCATCCACTTACAAATTTCACCTCAAGCATAAGAAGTTATACAGTGGAAAGTAAGTCTCCCTTCTCAGAGGCAATCTGTTACCAGGTTGTCTCCACAGACAATGTATGATAAAGCATACAGACATTGCTGGGGGCTGTAATCCTAGAACTTTGGGAAGCCAAGATGGGTGGATTGCCTGAGCTCACAGATTTCGAGACCAGCCTGAGCCAGATGACACTCGGTGTTTAAAAATAGCCGGGCTTGTGGGTAGCGACCGTAGTCCCAGCTACTTGGGAGGCTGAGACAAGAGAATCGCTTGAGCCCAAGAGTTGGAGGTTGCTGTGAGCTGTGATGCTACAACACTACTGAGGGTAACAAAGTGAGACTCTGTATCCAAAGGGGAAAAAAAGCATATGGACATAGATATGTCTTTACATATGATGAGGAAATTGTTATCCTCTTGTTGTAAATAAGGAAACTAAGGTTCTCTAAACCTATGCACGTCTCCAAAATCCTAAAGCTAGGTATTAGTGAACCTGGAGTTCCAAACTAGCTCCCAGTGGCTTCCATGCCCTTTGACTTAGGACGTTGAAGACATGTTAGCCATGACTGACCTTTTCTGGTCAACAGCTTTTTGAATATGACGTCTCTGTTCCTCACGAGACGGAGGAACTCTGTTCTTCCTCTAGAAAAAAGAAAGAAAAATAGGTAGGAACCCTATTCGCCACTCTTCCCCATCTCACTACCTTCCAAAAAGAAAAAAAGTTGTTTTTGAAAAGTAGGTAAAGTTTCTGCAGAAAAAAACATTGAGAGCTCTCTCTCTCTTTCTCTCTCTCTCTCTCTCTCTCTCACACACACACACACACACACATAAATTTGGTTCAGTTTCACTAATCTCTGTCTGTATTAATCATTGTAAATAATCAAGGTCTTTACTCCAAATTTATAAAACATTTTTCTAAATAATTACTAGTTCTAATCTGGAATGAATCCCTCTAAGAGGTGTATCATTTGACTCTTAGGTTCAGGTTTTTCTGTATAGCCTGGAACAAAAAACCTTATCAGTTTACTGCTCATGTTTTACTCCCTTGCATACAAATAATTCCCGTATTTACACTGCTGAATGTACTTCCCTTCTAGGCTCCTGTTAATTAGAAAGTTGTGTGTCAATCACTTTTCGGCTCCTCTATTTCCTTCCTTCCATGACTGCAGCAGCAGGAAGAAGCTCCATCCATCAGCTTTTCCAAGAGTACACTGAGTTTATCAACTATAAATGTGGTCATTTTCTTATCCCTCAGTTAAAAAAAAAAAAAGAATATCCTTTTGTGAGATCCATATCTAGCTATACACCTGAACTTAAATATAATTATTCTTTAGTAACCTTTCAGTAGCCCATAACTTTTGCAGCTTATCATTAGATTGCTTTAATAAGATTATTTTTTAAAGTGGACTTTTAAAGAGGTTGTAGCGTCTCATCATGGACATTTTTAAAATTAAAAAAAAAAAAAATTAAAGCATACATCAGGGCTCGGTGCCTATAGCTCAACCGGCTAAGGCGCCAGCCAAGTACACCTAAGGTGGCGGGTTCGAATCCCCAGCCCAGACCCGCCAAACAACAATGACGGCTGCAACCAAAAAAAAATAGCCGGGCGTTGTGGCGGGCGCCTGTGGTCCCAGCTACTTGGGAGGCGGAGGCAGGAGACTCGCTTGAGCCCAGGAGTTGGAGGTTGCTGTGAGCAGTGAAGCCATAGAACACTACCCAGGGGGACAGCTTGAGGCTCTGTCTCAAAAAAAAAAAAAAGCATACATCAGGAAACAACTTTTTTTTTAATGTCATTTCACATAGCTGTGTGCTGGTAAACATTCAACTGATTTGAATTTATTATAAATTCTACTGATAAAAAGGATGTGTAGCATACAATTTTATAAATGATAATAAATATTCAATATAATTTATTGTAAATTCTATAGAACCAATTGACTCTCACAGGATGCTTTTGATTTTTGCCAAACACTTACATCCCTAGACAATCTATGGTTGCAGTTGATGAATTAGCATAGTTCTGATATGATTGTTGATTGATATGTTCATTTAAGTAATAAAAAAGTAATTCAGATATGATTTATATAGTAGCCCTTTACTCATTCATCAACAATGTGAGTGACTTCTTTCCTGAATCGGATGATGGTTTTCAAATACCATAAATATACTGTCCTATTTTTTTGCAATAGCACAAAAATAAATACACAATATAGTGGGCTATGGACACAATTCACTTTTAAGCTAAATGTGTAACATTAGTAACATTTTATCTATTGTTTTCTTAAGTCTAGTGTGGCAAACATAAATCAAGCCCTACTTTGTAGCATTTGACAATTTCTGTGGTATAAATATTCCCACCATGGCTGATTTCAAGTCAAGTGCAGTTAGGAAGACATACCCATTACAAAGCACAGATACAGTAGATGTAAATAATCTCCAGAGAATAGATAATACTCAAATGTAAAAAAAAGTAGAAAGTATGTAATTTTGAGTATTTATTGCTTTTGCTTTTAAAATAATTTAATTATAAATTTTTAGAATTTAATTTTGAATGATGGCTATGGCTAACAACCATTTCTTACAAATTTCTGAAAATTTAACAATCAGTTCTCACAAGCTGATGTAAGTCAGCTCCAGTGCCCCTATTTTTGGAAGCCAGAACTTAATCATGTAGGTGAATATCGCCTACAATGTCACCCTGATGTGATCTTCACAGAAAGAAAAAAAGAATGTGACATACACTTTCAGTTTCCTGGGAGAAGAGGGTGAAATCCTTAGTACCTTCTATACCTCAGAGGACCAAAAGATGACTTACATTTGTACAACCTGGAACCCACCACAACAACTCTAACTCCATCTCTGCCTGGCAGCTCTTTGCAGGTAACTGGCTCTGTTCCACTCTCCAGCAGCCTCTGAAATCACTCTGAAGAGCTGAAAATCCTGAGGCAAGGGGAATGTCCCTCCTTTTTGCAGATCCTGGCTGCTTGAGTCACCTCCTCCCAGGAAGACCACTGGGAAAGAGCCCTTCAAGGCCTTCAAAAAGATGCCAAGCATCTCAGGATATTCTGAGACAGCCTCTGCTTGATCTTTTAATTTAGACCTTCTAATCCTCACCTGCAGAAATGAGATTAAAAAGTGAAGCTTCCCTAGGAGCTTTGGAACTCTCCTGGAGGGCACTTGATTGTGATAGTCCCCTGCCTGCAGACAAGCCTGCCCAGCCTCTTGAGGCTGTTCCTTGGGAAGTCAAGATTTGTGTGTCTTCTATTTCCAAACATCCCATTAGATCTCCATATTCACTACCCTGGGTTGCTGAATGTGCTGGTTGTGCTCTTACATCTTGTTCTCATTGTATCTTCAGTGGTTTTTGTTCTGTTCTCATACAAGAAAGGATACATAGGATTTTCCCAGAAGATAAAATGTGGAAATTCAATGTCCTTCTTCCTAGAACTGAAGTTATATATCCAAGATGATACGGAGAAGTCCTTCATTCCAGGGAACTATCCATTCTGCAACACCCCACCCACCACCTCAGTACATCCCAAAATGATAGTCCTTGGGACTGCCAGACATTATACTGTTTTGTTCCCAGAATCCCTTCCCAGGTTTTCCAGTGTAGTGGGTCCTAGAACTTGGGTTCTAGTTTAGCCCTGACAATAACAAGCTGTGCCTCATTAGGCAAGTATCTTTACTTAACATGGTTCAGTGTCCTTAGATGTGAAATAAAGTTTGGACAAGAGAGTCTCCAATCAATGCTACTGCATTTTGATTATGAACTCTGGTAAGTCTTTGAGGGATATACACTAATTTTGCATCCCATGGTTGTCACTAGATCCCATTTGATCTCCATAACCACCCAAGTGCTTCCCTTCTCACTAAACACAATAAAAAGCATGGTTGTAGAAAAGCTCGAACTCTGCTTCCATGTTCCTGGATCTCTTTTGGGCCTAATTCCTCAGTCTTCTACATAAAAACCTTCAGTATAAGCACTGGTAAATTCTCAGTTACAAGGTTCCCTGGGTAACAGGGAGGGGTAAGAGCATCTCTAGCACAGTAGCTAAGACTTAGGGCATGTACTTTGCAGTCAGCTTGGGTAGCAGTCCCAGCTTGATTATTTATCAGCTGTGAGATCTAAGGCCAGTTATCTTTTTTTTTTTTTTTT